ATCTGAAAATGATATTTTTTAAAAAGGACGCCTGAGGGCGCGCAGAAGTGCGGGCGACATGAAGAGGCATACGGAGAGGCGCACAAACAAGATCCCAGTTAGTTTGGGGGCTTCGAAAGGGACTCCGGGGACCCCCTGGGCGCGCCCAGGACGGCCCAAGAAACACCGAAAATGCTGCCAGACGGCCCGGGCCGGGGTCGGGGGGCGCGGGGGGCAGCTGCAGAGAGCGCCCGCTGATTCCAACGCGCTTCCAAGAGCCCGCGAAGACGCGCGCGAGCTCGACACGAGGCAAGAATAGAGGCTCGACAAGGCCAGAATGGACATACTCATATGTGTTTTACAAGTTTTTTTGTTGTTGTACGTTTTGTTTTTGTAGTCGAAGTGGGCCGAGGAGGGGTGGGCGGGCTGCCAGACTGGACCAAAACGGCTTGGAGGACAGCCAAGATCGCCCCAGGAGAGTGTCTGGCGGCCTCCAAAATCGAGTCAGTGAGCTCCCGGAGAAGCCTTCTGAGAGAGGCCGGCGGCGCCATGAAGGCGAGCATTTCCAACGAGGTGCGTTCTGAATCGAAAATGATTGCCAAAGAGCGCTCGTTCCGCAGCCGCGGCCCCCGGGCCGGCGGAATGAGCAGGCCGCGGGGAGGACCCCAGGAGGGGTTGCAAGGGCTCTGAGGAATGGGTAATGGTACGAGGAGTTCGTGCGCGCGCAGATTGAGGGGATTGAGTTCGCGCAGACCATGCGGCGGGGATCTCGCGCGCCGTTCCCGGTGGGGCGGCGGATCGCTTCGCTCATTCCGCCGGCCCGTATTGTGCATATGGGTGCCTTTGGGGGTCTTTTTGGGGTCTTTTGGGGTGCTCGTTGGGGGTGTCTTGGGGTCGGTTTTTGGTGGCTTGTTTGGGTCCTCGTTGGGGGTTTCTTGGGGGCCTCTTGGGTTCGTGGTCGGGGGGTCCTTTGGGGGGCCTCCTGGGGCCGCTTGGGAGCTTCTTGGGGGCTTCGTGATGGCCTTTTTGGGGCCTCCTGGGGCTTGTCAGGAGCCTCCGGGCGCTTCCCGGGGGCCGCTGGGGGCCGAGGGCTCGAAATGTTGTTTCGTATTCCCCCATCTGGGGTTTCTTGGAGCGTCATTGGCGCCTTCTTGGGCCGTCTTGGAAGCCTTGGGCCGTCTTGGAACCTTCTTGGGCCGTCTTGGGGCCATGTCGGAGGCCTCTCGGGCCTCTTAGGGCGATCTCGGGGGCCTCCTGGGCCGTCTTGGGGCGTCGCGATGCCGAGAAGGTGGGGGCGCCAAATTCACCCCAAAACCCAGGAAAGCAATGCATTTTGCCACTTGGGGCCCTCTTGGGAGTGCTCTTGAAAGCCTCGTGGGGTGTCTGGGTGCTATCTTGAGCGTCCTGGAGCGATCTTGTGGCATCTCTGGCACTTGGTGTGCCATCTTTGGGGGCCTGTCGGGCGGTTGTCTATTGGCCCTTCTTGGGGTTCTCGGGGGCGTCTCGGGGCCCTGTTGGTGCGCTCCAGGAGCGCTCCGGGGGCTTCTCCCGGGGCCTCGCAGGGGTGCTTTTCGCCCGGGAGCCACCAAGAGCCGCCCCGCGCGCGCGGACTAGAAATATTGTGAAGCACTTAATTACAAGAGATCTTAGCACGCCTCTGGCCCGCTGGGCCGGCGAATTTCAAGGCCATCCTGGGCCTTCTGCGGGCCGACGCGGGGGCCCTGGAGCTCGCGCGCGCGCGTTCAGTGCGCGGGGAAGGGGCGAGCGCGCACGGGCAGGGGGCCTCCCCGCCATGGGGGGGGGGATGCATTGCAGGTGGAAGACCCGGCAGGCGGGCGATTCAAGTCGAGGGCCATCGCTGGGGACGCGCGTGCCATGGCGACATGGTACGCGAAGAGGCGCGCGCGGGTCGCGGGGGACGGCGCGCGCCAGCGCCAAGGCGGAGAGGCCCGATGTGGCGGGCCCTGTCATTGTACGTTGGCAAGTCTGCTTACGGTTCGGCTCGGAGGTGGTCGACTTGAATTCGCCGAATCAGTCGGAGGTGACCGCGCGCGCAGACAAAAGGGCCGGGTGGACAGAAACCCCGACAGTGACACGTCGATTAGTGAACTGTCCGTTTTCGGTTCCCGAGAGGGCGCCGTGGCCGCTATTTTCCAAGCTTGAGCCCGCCAGGTTTGGGCCGCAGGTCGTTGTCACGAAATTGCGTTTTGCTAAGGGGCGTTGTGCGCAGGTAGGGAGGGCTCTGGAATTGAAAAGAGGAAACCGCGTGATTTCGACACCTCCTTTTCTGTGGATTCTTACAAGGCAAGCAAATTTGAAATGCGTTCGCTACCACGTGATGCTGAGATATGGTCCGTCGTTTCAGACGGGTTGTAGCCGCACTTCCAGAATATTGAGTTTTCTGCCAATTTGAATCCGCACGTGCAACGCGAAGCATTGCAAAGTTCCAGGTGAAGTTTACACAGATCTCTTATTGCGAAGGCCTCACGGCCAGCGCCGCCGACCCTGACGACAACGGCGGCGGCGGTGACGACGACTCCGCGCCACAGTCCTCAGGCATACTTATTGGGGTCTCTTCGGAAGGCTTTCGGGGGCCTCTGGGGAGGAATTTTTGGGCCTCTTGGGAGCCTCTTGGGGGCTTCTTCGGGTTTCCTTGGGACCTCTTGTGGGCATCTTGGGGCCGGCGGCGGCGGCGGCCGGCGGAGGCCCTCCGGCGGCAGGCGGCGATCTTCGCGCCCCGGCCGGCTCGCGGGGTGGGCGACAGCGGCTGCGACGTCGTCGTTGTCGTCGTCGTCGTCTTCGTCGTCGTCGTTGTCGCCATCGTCCCCTCCTCCTCGTCATTTTTTCTCCTTCTTCTCTTCCTCATTTTCTTCGTTGTCGTGGTCGTCGTCGTCGTCAGCCGCTTGGGGTTGCTGGGGGAGTTGTGTCGCCGAGGGCTCATCGGCCCCCCCGAATTCGGCTGCTGGGGGATTTCCGTGGCCGAGGGCTTGTCGGGCCCCCTGTCTTGGGTACCCTGTGGAGGAGTCTTGAAACTCCAGGGGCCTCTTGGAGGTCTCGTGGAGAGTTCCTGGGGACTTTTGTGGGCTTCCGGACCGCGCGGGGGTTCCGGGACCACGGGGGGGGAAACGCATTTGGGTGGCGAACCCCCCCGGGACCCCCCAGGGATTCCCGCGCGGGGAAGGGATCAATTGGAAGGGGCTTCCTTTCGATTCCACTCCTATGTTGTTCAATTTCGCTTTAGACGGCGCGTATGAGGAAGAGGGCCAATGTGAATGGAACAGAGGATGACGGAGACGACGACACAAACGGGAAAGCCCGACTCGAACGGAACAGCTCCTCACACACGCCGACGGGTCGGCGGATTTGCATCGCCCTCTGCCGACGGCCCCCTGGAGTATTGCTTGAATGGCCACGCTTGATTGGTAGGTTGGTTTGTTCTCTTAATTATCGGTTAGTTGGCCGGCAACTCGATTGATTGGCGTGTTGCCCAAATTGAGAATATGCATTTGATGTTGGTTGGCTGGCTGGTTGCGTGCGTCTGTGATAACCAATGACGGGTTGTGGCCTCCGGAGCGCGCTTCCATTTTAAGTTACGAAGCTTCGAGGCTTCGGGAGCGCGCACCCCTAGCTATTTAGAAGGACCCGTGGCCTCGAGTCCCGAGTCGAATTCTTAGGAAACGACGGGGGGACCGAAAGCGCCCTCCCGTACACATATCCCACTACAGAAAATCACAGTCAGTCTGCCCTGGAGGGTGGAGACGCTTTTCGGCGGCCTCCGTGAATTGGGTTCGGCTTCGGGAGCGCCAATGCGTAGTAAGTTACTAGGGGTTGTGGGGTTGTGGCTTTGGGGGCGCAACCTCGTCGAAATTTACTAATGGTTGTGGCCTCGGGAGTGCAAAGCTGGCGTACTGTACGAAGGATTGTGACTTGGGGGACGCGAGTACGCGTAATTCATATGGGGTTGTGGCTTCGGGAGCGCATAGCAGATTGCAAAGGATTCTGGCTTTTGGGACGCAGAACTTTAGCACTTCACAGTAGATTGTGAAATCGGAGGCGCTATTCTGCTTTATGGATTACGAGTGTGCTTCGGGGAACGCTAGCATGGCGTAAACTACTACGGATTGTGGCCTCGGGGGCACGAACTTGTTGCAATGAATGCGGGATTGTGGCTTGGGCGCGAATATGCAGTCAGTTACAATTGATTGTGGCTTGGCGAGCGCGAGCATGACGTAGTGCACTACGGAGTGTGACATGGGGAGCGCGAACCTGTCGTAATCAACAAAGGGGGTTCGGCCTTGTGGGCGCGCACCTTTAGTACTTTACGATGTGTTGTGGCTTGGGGGGCGCGAGTTTGCTGAATGTTGCAAGTGTCCCAGGTTACCCCAAGATGTTTTGCGAATTCCCAGGGTGGATGTTTAGCTAGGTTTTCGGCACCCCCCTCGCGAGGTTTCTCATTACTCCAACACGGAGTAATTTGTGAAGTAACAGTGGCGCATGGAACAGGACTGCCTCCGCCACGCAGCGTTTTGGGCCCAACGGGAGCCGGCGGATTCAAACGAACTACATTGAGAATCACAAGATGGAGCACACATACAATGTATCTCACGTCGAGAGTTGCACGACTCTACGATGAAGCGATTCGTCTCAACTTGTGTTCTGGTCTTCACAGCACGATTTATCATGTCGTCCTGGTGATGGGGAACATTGGGCCCTCGCTTCAGCCCCCGTGCGAGGAGGAGGCTGGAGGAGCAGGGCGGAGGCATTGGGGTGGCAGAGAGCAGAGAACAGGGGGGCAGGCAACAATGGGCAGAGGGCATGGAGGAGGACAGAACAGGACATCCGCATAAGGCGGTCAACCTCAACACCTACGATGGTGCCGTGCGCGCGATTGGCAAAATCCCCTGCGAGCATGGAGGAGGAGCAGGAGGAGGAGGAGGAGGAGGAGGAGGCGGATGAGAGGCGAGGTTGGTGGAGGAATCCACCCAGCCTTCTCTGTGCGACCGCGTTCCACTCCCTAACAGGCTGGGTTCGCGCGGCGGGAGAGGGGCTGGTCCGACTTGAAGAAGAGCTACTGTTGCGAGGCGGCAGGGCTTGCCTGCAGCGCGCCCTCATCTGCATTCGAATGTATGTCTCTTCACCTCATCCTCAGCACCCTCGACCTGGTCATGCTCGTTGGTCATTCGCCCTCTTCCTCCTCATTGCACCTTCTGGTATCCACGTCATTTGCTCACTTCGAGTTGCCTTGCGATGTCAGACAGGCAGGCAGGCAACAACTACGTTTGAGAGTGCATGTTGGAGCCAAGGCGCACTTTCCACGCACGGCAACGACCACTATGGGTTCAGCGGCAACCATCTTCTGCAGTCCTCTCCCCCCCCGCGCTCTCTGATCTTGCGATGTTCGAGTGTCAGGTCTATCCAGGACATGTGGCAACATCAAATAGGACAGGAGGAGGGAGTCGACGACAACGACGACGACGACGACGGCGGCGGTGACGACGACGACGACGACGACGACGACGACTAGAGGGAGGAGGGGAACTAGGGGGCGAAGGTACAGAGAGGGGTTAGTGCGAGGTGGGAGTGTTCCGTGTTGGCTGATCGCCCGCCTGGTCATGGTTGTGATGTGCATGGTTCGTGGTTTTCGCGGATAGTCAATGGATGCGCTGTTCGGAAAAGCAAGGGCGCTAGGCTAGCCAACACGTCTTCGGGCCAAGCAGCGTCCGAATTGCTGGATGTCGTAGGCTGTGGTGCGCCCGGAAACGAGGTCAGCTGTAGCTTGTTCACCGGTTCGCGCGGACCCCGTCGATCCACCATTGGTTGGCGACCATGCGCGCCCAGCTGCGAAAAGCAGCGGCGTGCACTCATTGTCGCAGCGCTGGCGCTCGCACGGCGTGGGTCGGCCGAGGGCGGGGTGCGCGATTGCGAATTGGCACCAGGGCATGGGCGGAGGAAAGGGAGCGGTTGCGGAGGAACAGGAAGGCGGGTGAAGCAGCGGCGTGCACGCCATCGCCCAAATAGTCCCACGCGCACGCTGAGAAGAGCCACCAGTCCTTGCCCGCTCGAGCGACGACTCGGTCAGACGCCCAGCGCCGAAGCCTGGGCGACATCGGTGAGCCACTCCGCAATGGTCTTCTGGGCCACCGTCAATGGTGGAGATCCGCCCGCAGTTGGAGCTTGAGCGCCTCAGAGAATGATTCCAGCCTCGGGCGTTTTTGTTGGTTCTCGAAGGCTTTCCAGCCTCGGGATGCGTTCCCGCTCTCAGGGGCAACGTTAAGGGAGGTAGAGGCTCCAGGTTCGAGGTGTTCGGGCGTTTCGTCGGTTCTCGGTGGTTTTCCAGCTTTGGGATGCGTTCCAGCAGATGCGCCGAGAGCGTTCCAGTGGGTGTCTGGATCTTCCCGAACAGGCGCCTAAGGCCCCACATATAGGCCGAAAACAATCAGGAATGGTGATAGGCTCAGGGGGTGACGCATCGACCCCCGATCGCTCGTTGATCGCCGACAAGGGCTTAATAGCCCACCCCGCCCAGGAGCGTGCGGATTCGCTGTCAGGCGCCTATCGCTGATCTCTCGGCAATGCATCGCCGATTCCAGATCGATGTTTCCCCACCTGAGCCAGCAACCCCTTATCGTTCCCCCTCGCAGCCGAGGCGCTGCGAACCACGAATCTCGGTCCCTCGGCTCTCGTGTGCAAAGAGCTGCACGCTCCTCCGGGGCTGGCCCAGCGACATCGGAGATTTGGCCCGTCACCATGAGACATCCGCGCCGCGAAGCCGTGGTTGAGGAGGTCCATTCGGCGGCGGCCTTCTAAGATTGCGGAGTAGGGGCCTTCCTGGAAGGCCCTGAAGACTACTGGGAGGGCATTCTGAGAAGCCCCCTTGCCCTCTCAGAGGCCCCGCCGCCCTCTGAGCAGCCCGCCCCCCTCGCGCCCCCCCTTTGGGGGCGCCGCCGATCCATGGTGAGCGAGCTCGGATGGCTCGGGCCCCACGATGGTGTCGCAGCCAGCGTCAGCCTCTCGAGGTGGGGCAGCGGCGTGGAAGGATTGCCTCGGCCTCTTGCCACGTCGCGGCGCTTCCGGCCCCTGACCCAGGATGCGCACGGCCGAGGGAGGGGTCCAGCGCGGATCCGAGAAATCCGCACAGATCTCGGACAGATTTTCTCTATGCAGTGTGGTGTTCCTGCTGGGACACAGGCGGACCGAGGTATAAAGATCGAGATCGGTTCGGGGAGGGTACCCTAGTGTTCGTCGTGCTTGTTGGGTGTTCGTGTGCATCCTGGGGGGGTACCCTTCGATGCTCTGTGTGTTTTTGGCCAGCGGAGGGTCTCGTGTTCTTGAAGGATGTTATCCTGGCCCAGGTCCGACTAAAGACAGGCACGATGTCCGTACCACCAGCGAAAGCCGCGCCAATGTGCGTCACGATCATGCGGGAGTGGCAGGCGTCTTGCGAGACGGATCGCTTGTTTACCCCCCTATGACGGTCTGTCGCCACAGTATATATGTATACATAATACACATATATATATATATACATATACATGGAGAGAGAGAGAGAGAGACAGAGAGACAGAGAGAAAGAACAAGAGAGAGAGATTCCCTAAGTGGTGCTTGCACTTAGAGGTTCTTACGTGGGGAAAAGGAACTGGGCGTGTGTGGCGGTAAGGCGGCTTTGTCGTCGCCGTCGCCGCCTGTCGATTGGGCATGTCCGGGGGTCCAGCGGCTATATCGTCGCCGTCGCCGCCCCGTTGCCGCCTCGTCGCCGCCTCGTCGCCGCCTGTCGTCTGGGCCTGTGTGGCGGTCCAGCGGCTTTGTCGTCGCCGTCGCCGCCTCGTCGATTGCACGACATAGATTGTCAACATAGATTGCGTCACACAAGTTCTTCTGTCCGAATGAGTAATAGGATCTCCCCTCTCTCCCCCCCCGACTTCACGGTATTGTACCCTTTCGCGTATCGCAATTTACATGCGATTTTGCCCCATCGTCCATCCGACATATGAACTCATATCATCCCAGCCAAAATGGCAATCCCCCTCATCCTCTGCAAACGAAATACGCGCGCACATTCATTTATCAACAAGCATGAGTTTCCCACATTCCTTGCAAAACACGGGACGAAGTGCACACGCGCGCGTCGCCGCGCGCGCATGCCGAAGTCCTTCAAGGATTTCAAGGGCATGCCGAAATCCTTCAAGAATTTCAAGGGCCGTAGCTATTTCAAAGCTGGGTACCCTAACAACTTCTAAACCATACGGTTTCCCAGAACGATGTATAGTTGAAATAAATGCGCGCTTTCGCAGGTTCTTATGGGAACCATTTGCTTTCAACCTGATCATCAAAAGCTACCAAGGATGCCATTCGCGCGCGCATGTCGAAATCGCTCCAACGCATTTGCGCGCGTGCTGTCGCAATTATACTTTGCGACAAAGATGACGAACTGCGCACGCTCGCGTCGTCGCCGCGCACATGCGGGAATCTTTCCGAAACCTTTGGTGTCGTAGGGATCAAAATCGCGGGCCTCGACACACATATATTGACACACGTTTGCGTTACACGAGTTGTCACACATGCTTGCGATCGCGCTTGGGTGAACCCTTGATAAAACATAGTTTTCAACATGTTAATGGGATTCTGCCAAGCGGCAACAGCAACAGCAGCAGCAGCAGCAACGTCGAAAGCACCTGCCACGGGCCCTCGAGGATCGAAGGGGAGGTTCTCGGACAGTGGTTTCAGGACGTTCTCGGGTCTCCGGAGGCCTCCGGGTGCCCCGGCGATCTCCTTAGAACTCCAGGAGCAGGGCTCGGGGCGGGAGCAATGCTTACGCACCGCCAGCAGCAACGGCAGCAAGTGGCGCGTTTCCAAAATGATCCGTCATGATTGCAAGATGACACTTGGCCCCAACAGTGCCCAATACGGATCGAGGAGAAAGCAATACCTTGCGGATGCTCTCGCCGAGGTTTCTGTAGGGAGAGTCCGTCCTCATCGGTTCACGGCCGCGCTGCGTCGAGGACAATTTGCCCAAAAACGAGAAAGTTCCAGGTGCCATATGCAGATGCGCTAGGTGCCACTTAGGGCGGTTTAAGTTTGACAGCGTCACCACGAGTATGGAATGCAGCGGATGTTGCGTTCAGTTTGGCTCGCCATGGAACGCTCGCTCGCGACTACGAATGTATTCTCTATTACCGATCGCGGATAATCCATGCAAGGAGGCGGCCGAGGAGGACAGAGGCGGAGTTCCCGGGGGAGGAGGGGGCGGAGGGGGGGGTGGAGGAGACGAGCCGGCCGGGTAGCGGAGAGGAGGGGCGGCGGCCGGAGGCAGATCAAAAACGCTGCCCCCCGGCAGACCTTCGACGTGTGCGGGACGACGGGCACTTCCACGCCCGCGGCTCCGACGAGCGCATCCATGCCCGCGGCCCCGCCAGACATGAGCGGGGGGGGTCGGCCTGCTCTCTATTCGCGGAGGGTTTGGGATGTTCGAGGGTTCGGCGCCGTGTGCCTCGCCAGGCTCGTGCGCGAAAGTGTTTTTGTTTGGAGCGCAGCGCGCTCGTCGTCGTCGTCGTCGTCGTCGTCGTCGTCGTCGTCGTCGTCGTCAAGGTTTTAGATGTTCTGGAGTTTGGGGGCTATCTTCTGCCGAGCAGGCCTGGGCATGACAACGGTAGGCCGTAGGTCTCCTCCCGCGACTCCCCATGGGGGTGCCCGCGTGCTATGCCCGCAGAGGGGTCTAGAAACAGGCGAACCTCTCGAGACACCGTCTTCGCGGGTTCTTGGGCGGACTTGGAAGTATGTTGGACTCTCTTTGGCCGTCTTGGAGGCCTTTTTGGCCATCTTGGGGGCCTCTTAGAGGCCATCTTGGGCCATCTTGGCGGTCTTGAAAGAAATCTTGAGGGGATTTGTTTGTGAGAATTGGGCGCCGTTTCGGGTGGCCGGCGGGACGGGCCAGAGCCTTGGGGGAGAATTTTCTTGGACAAATAACTAAAACCAAGAGCGATAGAATTCAGCCCGCCAGGCACCCCTGTGGCAAACCAACAGGGGGCGGCGGATCGAATAGCCTTCGGCCCATCCCTCCACCGGGCCTGGGTTGTGGGTCAGGGTACTCGGGGATGCTCGTTGTGGTCTCTTCGGAGCGCTCTCGGAGGCCTCTGGGGGGCAGTTTGCAGTTTTGGGGACTTGTCGGGGTCTCTTGGGGGCCTCTTGGGAAGCTCTTGTGGCCGCCTGGTGGCCTCTCGGTGCCGCGGGGCTCGAAATGTCCGTTCGGGTCCCCGATCCAGGCCACCTCTTGGAGTTGTCTTGGGGACCTCGTGGGCCGTCTTGGAGGCAACTTGGGCCCTCTGGGGGCCCTCTTGGGCCGTGTTGGGGCCCTCTTGGAGCTTCTTCGGTTGTTTTGGGGCGATGTATGGCGGACCTCCTGGGCAGTCTTGGAACATCGAGAAGCCGAAAAGGTGAGAACGCCAAAGTCATTCAAAAACCATTTAACCAAATCTCTGATTGTTGCCTCGTGGGGCTCTCTAGGGGGTGCTCTTGGAGGCCTCTTGGGGCGTCTTTGGCGCATCTTCCGCCGTCTAGAGGCTATCGTGGGCGTCTTGGAACGATCTTTCGGCGATTCTGGGCCCTCCTGGACAGTCTGGGCGGCCTCCCGGAGCTTTCTTGGTTCGTTTTGGGGCTCTGCTGGGGACCGTCGCAGAGGCCCGCGCGAGAAACCCCGGCAGCGCCACGGAAACTGGGGGTCCGGGCCCTCAAGACATTCACAAAGCCTCCTCACTTTTCAGGGCTACATGAGCCGTGGGGCACCCCATTTCGTGCCCGAGGCACGGCGGCAGATCTGGATGTGGGTGAGACTGAGTGTGGGTGAGTTTGAGTATGAGTGAGTCTGGGAGTGAATGGTCCGAGTGTGAGTGGGTTGTGCGTCTGGTTATGAGCATGATGAGTCTGAGCGTGATTAGTCTGAGTGTGTGTGTGTGAGTGTGAGTCGGGCGCCCTCGTTGCACATGCGCCACACTCCCAAGCCTCGGATGCAACGTTGGATGCGTGGAGGAGCATGCGTCAGTTGCAGACGGTCCTTTCTCGACCCGGTCCGGCATCGTTACGCTGTCGCTTGACATGCCAATCCCAGGGCCTGGGCGAGAAGATGTAAAGGTAGGTGGGGCTCACTGATCAGGAGGTGATTCCGACGTTCTCGGAACCGCAATGTTACGTTCACGGCATAGGGTTACGTGCGGAAGCGCGCCCGCATGATCCTCACAACCAGTTTCACTCCGTAACCATCCTTCACGCCTTTCTGTTTGGCGTCTTCAGACAGGGTGTGGATCCGACTTGTCCTTAGAACGTGTAGGAGATGAATCACAGATGTCCGCATACTTTTCGCTCGAGCCTTTTTCACCTCAGGGAGCACCTGACACGTATGCGCCCTGCTGTCTTCCGGCCGCCATCGTGGTTGCTGGTCTGCGTCTGGTGTGCTCTGGACGCGTGGCAGCCTGGACTGCTGCGCACGGGCGGCGGGGGCAGCCCGCCTGACGACTGGGACCGTCGGGCCTCCCTCGCGGCTCAGCTGGCCGCCAGGCGGGAGGCCGAGCTCGCCGCGGTGCACGCGGCTAACCTCAGCCAGTGCCACACTGCGCTGGGGCAGGTACAGATTGCGCTGTCCAACTTGTCGGCGGAGCTGACCGAGCTTCGCGCCGCCAGGCCCGTGCTGCCCGAGGAGTTCGACTCGCTCTTGCTGCACGCGTTCGGGGTGGTGTTGACCGCGGTGCTGAGTCAGTGTGGCCTGTGCATCACGGCCCCTCTCCGTCGCCATGGCTCCGCTGCCCTCGAACCTGACGCTCGTCGCGAGCGACGGGAGCGGCGCCGAGGCGGAGGCGTTCTTCAATGAGCTCGTGCTGGGAAGGGTGGTCACCTTCTACTACGAGGACGACCCGAATGTCGGGCACGAGCGGCTGCTGCTGTGGCCGTCCGCCGGGCTGTTCCCCCACACCTGCTGGACGTGCCTCACGCCCGACGGCGACGTGTACCCCGAGGAGATGGCGGCCGGGCCCGATGGGGACGGGCCCAGCCGCGCGTCCCTCACGATGGGGGCGACACCGACCTGCTCTCCGCCCTGCAGGGCGGGTCTACAGGTTCCACGAGTACCCGAGTGAGGACGACATGATCCAACTCTTTCGGGACGCGCGCCTAGCCGCGCGCGCTGCAGGTGGGGTCGAAGGCGAGCCAACTGCCTTCATGCGCGACGGTGGCCGGCCTCCCCAGAGCATGACAATCAGCCTCGCCGACGTGCCAGGGTTCGTGCGCCGCGTATGGCGCAAGAGCCCGCCAGCGGCCGTGCTTTGGGGCGCGCCCAGCGCTCCGCCCGCGGGCCAGGCGCCGGGGCCCGACACGCCCCCGCCTGGCGGGGCCGCCGAGGGGCTTGGAGCGCTCGCCGACGGCGAGGTCGGGGGCGCTGCGACCTCAAGGGTCGGCCCTGGCGCTGCGCTGCTTTCCGCCAAGGAGTGCCGCCCCCCTGGCTCGGCCTGGTTCGCGCTGAAGACGGCCCCGAACGAGTGCCAGCAGTTGGGCGAGGTCGCCCCAAAGGCTGGCGACGTGGTCTGGGGGGAGAGTGGGCTCTACCGCGCGGGGGGCGGCTCCGTCGTGCCGATTGAGCTCCACCCCGTCCCGCTGCCGGCCGAGGTCTTGGACAAGCTTGCCGATGACGATGCTCGCCTCCTCGGCCCTCGCCAGCGCGCGCGGGAGGGCCGCCGGCGCCGCGAATTCTGCGAGGCGGTGTCGGCCATGAGACAGGGGGCACATGACGACTTCCTTCTCGTGGGCGAGCGTAGTTTCGAGTGGTTATGCGACTACATCGCAGACCATGGCGGCACCCCCGATGGCCGCCATGCCAGGTGGATGCCGGAGAGTGGCTGCACGAAGGACTCGGCGGCCGCGCGCATCCACGACCTGTTCGGTTTCGCTATCGCGATGGCCGTCACCTACGGCCAGGCTGACGGCTCCAATTTTGCCAGCATGGAGGTGGCGTCGCGGGCTTACCAGCTGATCGGGGAGACCGTGAGAAGCATGAAGATCGAGGGCGTCGAGCATTGCATCGGCCGCTCGAAGCAGAGCGCCCGCCGGGGCGTTGCTGCGGCACCAGGCGCAGCCGTGTGCGCCACCGAGCGGCTGGCAAAGGAGACGGAGATTCAGAAGACCTGCTGATGTCCAGTCCCCTGGCGATGGCACGCTGCAGTTCGCGGTGCCCGCGTCGCCAATTGCTTCACCCCCGCCGCCTGAACTATCCCGTTCGGCTCGGGCCCGTCTGTCTCGCGCCCAGCTTATCGAGCAGCGTACTCGGGGCACCGCGGGGCGCCTCAACATGCTTGGGGGCTACGCCGCACCGCGGGTGGCACCAGGGCGCCTCTCGCAGCTGTATGATCTTTTACTTCGACGCGCTCGCGGGCTGCATCGCAAGATGGTCGCCCCTCCGACCTCGTCGGCCCAGGAAGCCTGTTCAGAGCTTTTGGGCCGCCCATGTCTTCACAACGACACGACTAACAGCTTGCCGCTGAGGCCCTACGCCCCGCACTTCGTGAGTTGGCCCGATTGGGAAAACGAGCCCCAGTGGCGCGCGGATCGGCCGGGCGCTAGCGAGTGATGCTCTCTCTTGGACCTCGACCATGCCATGCTGCCGCCGCCGCCGAGCTTCGACGAAGCCGCGGAGACAGAGATGGGAGCCCACGTTGCACATGGGCGCTGTGCTGGGGCGGAGCAGGCCGCTCTTGAATCCATCAAGTCCGGCATCTCGCGGCGCGTTTTCGTCGTGGGGAAGGGGGGGATTGAGGGCGTCTCCGCGTTTTTCGCGGCCAAGAAGGACGAGCGGATCAGGGTGGCGCTGGATTGCATGCGCAGCAACCAGCGTTTCGTTCTCCGCCGCGGGCCCCGCGGGCCTCGAGGCGCCGAAGGGCGCGCCCCTCTACTTCGCGGGGGTGGGCGTCCAGAACGCGTTCTACCAGCACAAGTTGCCGGCCTACCTGCGGCCGTACTTCTGCTTGCCGAAGGTCACCGCGGGCGAGCTGGGCATCGGCAGGCTCGACGGGCGGCGCGCCCCGCCCAAGGCCTGCCTCTGCCCGCAGCTTGCCGTCGTTCCCGCGGGATGGAGCTGGGCCCTTTTCTTCGTTCAGAAAGCTCACGAGCGGACGCTGGACCAGTGCTGCGCCCCGGGGCCCGAGCTTCGGGCGGTCGGCTTCGCGCCAGCCCCCAGCCCGCTCGAGGGGCCCATCCGCCCCCTCTACGCGGACAACGTCCTCGCGGCAGGCACCGACCCCGAGGCCGTGACCAAGGTCAGGCGCGAGGCCTCCAGGGCCCTGGAAGGCGCGGGCCTGGCCGTTCCTGACGAGACCGACGCGGCCCAGAACGCGACGGTGCTTGGCGGGCAGCTGGAGGGCTCTCCAGCGCGCGCCACGCTGGCACCGCGACGGCACTGGAAGCTCTACACGGGACTCGACTATCTTGCGCAGCGCCGGCCTCGCGCCACCAGCCGTGACATCGAGCGCGTCGTCGGCCACTGCACTTTCGCCGCGCCGCGTCGGCGCGAGAGCCTGGGCTGCTTCAGCACCGCGTGCTAATTTGTCCAGCAGGCCCCTCTCGGCGTCGGCGCGGCGGGAGCTTGAGATCTCCCGCGGGCTGCTGATCGCGCTCGGCTCTGACCTCGACGCCGAGTGACTTTAAGGGTAGCTCTTTGGGAGATGGTATAGAGGATCGGGAGTGTAGCTCGCGCGCCGTTGCCTTTGGCTCAAGGCACGCGGGCCCTATTTGCCCGGACACTGCGTGTGTTCGCTATGTGCTGGACAGATCATTACATCGATCTTATCCTATCTTATCCGTCCACTCCCATACTGAACCAACACAGCATGGCTTCGGACGCTATCTGCCATTTGTTTCCCATGGAATCGGATGCTATGTGACTTACCATAGTCATTTCAGACTTGGTAGCGGCGCTGGCCGCACTCTCGTGTGGTCAGCTCTTGCTCTTCTTGTCCTCACGCTATCCGGCACGATCTTCGTGACCAACTACCACCCTGCGCCAGCGCTCCAACTACATTTACGAGGGTCAATATAAGAGCGAGAAGCAACGCGAGAGGCACGACGTCTAGACAACAACATTGGTACCATATACGCTTCATCACCACGCTACTACCAACCGCTCGGCAATGAGCCAACAGCGCAGCACTTGAAGCAGAGGCGGGGAACCCCGCAAGATAAGGCGCCTCGAAGACATGACAAGGCGCTACCCCAGCGCGGCAACGCGCCTGATAACCACCCATATCTTCACAGCCTTGGGTTGGTTATTTTCGCCATCATATGGTTTGCGCTGGGGGCAGCAATCGGACGCATGCGCCGAGGAGACAACAGCACAGTTGGGCAAACACATGGCCCATACTGGGACCCTCAAGGCAACGTGCCTTTCCGCGAGTACGTCTATGAGGTCAACGCGTGGCTTAACGTCGCAAGCGGACGCATGACGCCACAGGCCCAAGCAGCCGCCATACAACGCGGCCTGGGTGGCCTAGCGAGGACGCTCGCCATGGGGGTACCACCTGACATTATAAACCACGGTGCGGACATCGATGGTGTCCACACCGACCCAGTAACCTACATTATGTTCCTCTTAAGCATGAAGTTCGAACGCCTGGAAGATGAGCGCCAGCTCACTTCAGGCACACAGCTCATCGACTTTCATGTACCTCACGGAGAACGAATCGATGTAACCCTCACTCGGTTCGAGATGGCCCGCCTTGAGGCACAGTCGGTGGGGTTTGACCTTCCCAACTTCCAACTGCTCACTACTATCCTATTCCGCGCCCTAGGCGTCGGCAACCAGCGAGCCATGCAACTCTTGCAGCCGCTCAACCACCAAATGCCCCGAACACAACAACAGCATGATGAGTTGTGCGAGAGGATGCGTTCGATAGGCCATTTGTCAGAACGGTCTCCTGGCAACATAGGATCAGTGTTTGGAAGGGGAAGGGGAACTGGTAGTGGAAATTTCTATACTACCTTAACTACTGATGCTCAGCCTGGCAACGGGCCCTCCAGCATATGGGCCGACGATCCTGGAGAGTCTACTGCCCTACTAACAGGGGATCGACCACAACCAAGCTGGGCAGCCAGCCCTCCTCCTAGAGAACCTCAACCACACCGTTCCTTGTGGGGTGAAGCGAATCCCCTAAACGACGGTGTATCCACCTACCTAGGTAATGACGATTTCGGCTCCGGCACCGGCACCGACACCATATCATCAGATGGTATCGAACCCCTAGATTGGTCAGATATCATGCAAATGGAAGGGGACAACCAGCGTGCCGAACACCTGTTCTGGTCATTACAAGAGGCAAAGCGTAGGTGGATGGGGGTTCACACGAAAACCAGTGCGTCGTGTTAGGAGGAGGATACGGAGGAGCTTCAAAGGAAAAGGTAAAGGCAAACGGAGTCGCCGCAGGTTGAACGGACGAGGCATCTCGGCTTTCCTCCAGAGGCTTTCAGATGATCAGTAGGATGAAATATTTTTCGGGTGGAAAGGCAGTGGAAAAGGCCGTGGAGATACCTCAGGCAAAGGTTAAGGTAGGCGGGGAAACCCGCGAGGGAGAGACGGTCAGATCCTAAAGTGCCCTGAGTGTGATAGTGCCGATCATTTTGTAAAAGATTGTCCAGCGAAGGGAAATGGAAAGGGCAGATCGACCGAAGTCCATTTCGGCTCAAGTGAACCATTTATTGGATATCTGAGCCTCCAAGATTTCGGGGCCGCGGAACATATATTTTTCACTTGGGCCAGCAGCATGGACAACTTAGATGAGCTCGAGGCGTGCGGCCATGGACTGTACGCGTACTACCTCGAGTACCTCCGCAGGTTTGTTCTCGGAAATATCGAGCTTACGCCTGTGGAGAATGGAACGCTGGGAAACCAGCCCTTATCTTTCTTCGACTGGATGTCCGGTAACCCAGGCAACAGCATGGCCTACGAGAGCAGTGACGAGGAGATCACTCTTGAGGCCTCACCTTCGGAGGTTGACCACAACCTTCGACATCAACCCGACCTTATGCCTGGAAGCAGGCCCACTCCAGTATATCTTCCAAATTATGCTGATCTGATGGAATTAGAGTCTCAAGCATTCACCGTGGGCGTGCCAGGGAACCCATACGTACCACCTGGCACGCTAGCTCCAGGCGAGTACGGACCGCACGCGATACTGCATACCCTCATGCAGATGCACGCTGTACTGGTCGTAGCATATCCCGAGAGTCAAGAGAGTGTCGAAAGTGGCCACATGATGCTACAAGACACCGATGCCTGTGACGACTCGGAGTTAGTGCTAGCGGCCCTTAATCTCATTGATAGCGTGCACCCTGAGGACGTGCAACGACATGTGTGGTATTCGGTATTCCAGAGGGAGATGGCGCCAAGCCCTCGAAAGGGCCATCTCCATGCGCGGTCAGGCTCTCCCTCCGCCGGGATGGGGTCTCCAGGCGATGGGATTACAGCCCAACCACACGGCCATGCGAAATGTTATCGGGCAGCCTACACATGATCATGATCATCTTGAGGTACACTATGCTCGGTAACGAGCCTGAACCGACCACCGTACCGCCGACGCCGGGGCAGCCAAGCGATGCTCAGACGCTTGTACAGCGGGGAAACCTGCCCGTCCCGGCTGGACCGATGACCGTCGTCATCGGCAATCCTATGTCAGAAGATGAAGAGGGTGATGGTTGTGGGATGTGCGAGGACGAGACCACCATCTCACGATGGAAGTCAATGGTGAAGACGAGGAGGTGGATTTCAGCCCCGACAGTCCTGACGCACCACCACCTGCACAAGAGCCAATTGTGCCAGACTCCAGTCAGCAGGGAGACCTGCCTGCCCAAGATGCGCCGCCTGCGGCCCCGCAGGAACCCCCGTCGGCTCCTGCTCAGGCTGCGTCGGCGGCTTCATCTGATGAGCATGCCAGGAGGTCTCGCTCGCATCCACGCCTTAGGGGCGACCCTCACCCTCAAGCACGGCCCCCACGCGAATGGAGGCAAGCAGGCCCATCAGAGCATGCCGCTCGACGAGGGGGTCAGTTGCTCGCCTACAACGACCCTAGGCGTCAAACGGGTGAGCATTCTGCTTTTGGAAAAGGCAACCCAGCCTACAGGGATGCCCAAGGCGGGTCCATACGGGG